CTCAACATCCTCTTTGGTTTTCCAGACAAAAGTAGAGCAGAAGCTTTTTATAAACCTTCTAGATTACTGAATATATTACTACTCAGAGCATGACATAAATTGCCCCCAGAAGCACTCTGGCTAGCACACGTAGCACCTCCATAACAATCTCCTTGTTTTGATGATTTTGAGGACAAAAGTGAAACAAATGGGGTAGGCTATAATAAAAAAAAGAAGCATGCACTTTATTTTTTTTTCTCTTTTCTTTTCTTCTTCTTAGACTTATTATTGGGCATGACAGCTTGTTACCTCCTTATATAACTTTTGACCACACAAAATAAAAATTTGTCTCTAAAACCTCTTTTTCAATGAACGTTCAAGTAGTTAGCAGATTTCTGTTAAACTGTTTTTCACTGCTCAAGAAACTAGTGGGTGACAAGCCTCTTCCTAGGGAGGCCTTTTGTTCTTCAGACTTCCTTGTTAACTGTATCCTGATTTGAAATCTGCAACCCCAAACCCAAGCAGATCATTTCAAAGTAGCAACTGCTATTTCACTGTGTGTGACACTAAAATATCAGATATGACTTGAGTAGTATGGTCTTGCTTGCCAAAAAAAAATAAAGCACTACAAAGGTGTCTTGTTGGTCTAAGCAAGTTACATTATCCATGCTGATGGCAACAGATTGTACAGGAGTCTTATATATCCTCCCATTTTCTTCTGCATGTCATATGACAGCAGGAAACAGGAAGGTGTTTATCTAGCGTGCTTTTTCAGCACACATCATGTGTCAGTCACTCTAGCTGTACCATATGCTGGGAACACATGTAGTGCCAATTTTAGACAGTACATAGACCTGTCTCTTGTCTGGCACAAGTTATAAGCTTATCATGGTCATACGAGTTAGAGTAGAATAGTGTAAAACTATCTCAGGTGGAATCACCAGAAAAAAAAAATATGTAAAAAAAAAATCCAGTAGTAAAGGCTCTGTCAATGACATTGAGATAGTTTAGATCAAGTTTGGAGCTCAGGTGGGTTCTGGTGCATCACACAGTAAGAACATCTTCTTTAACCATGTAGCCATATGTAACAGAAAGATTAATAAGTTGATGTTTCTGGGTGTAATATATCCCTCCTCCTGCCACGACATTACCCCCAGAAAAAAGCCAGTTCTAGGAATTCATCATTAAAGGGCAACAAAAATCAAGCAGGAGTTTATGGTGAAGCTGGAAGACAAAAGCAACAGCTAAAGCTGTAGAAACTGTCCAAGAGATAAGAGAAACCTATCCTAAAATGCTGAAAGATAGATGTTTTTTGGAAATCCTCAACTTTCAGCTGTAGAGTACAAGCTCTACAAAGCAACTGATTCAGACCTTTGCAGCAGAATGGATTTGTGCAGGTAAAACAGTGGAGGATACAGAGACATTTTAGTGGGGCATACCAATTTTTCAAACTTAGGAGAACAACTGATGGCAGTTCTGTTGGACTCTGGGACCAAGAAAAAAACGCTATAGCTGAGGGCAAAAAAATAAATAAATTTACTGGTCTACCTAGATCACTAAAAAGAATCAGTACCCAAAGGCAGATAGATGGTAAATTAATGGCCTTTACTCAGAGTGTTTGGAAAGAAAGAAATTCCTTCAGCCACACTTGTATGAAACAGAATGATTTATTCTGGACCACAAAGCTAAATTAGTCTGGAGGAGTGACTTCAGTCTTCTGATCTGAAAGCACTGGAATCAGACAGTAAGGCTTTCTAAAGACAAAAATAAACAACCGAATGGACAACAACAACAACAAAAAAAACAACAACAATATCTGAGACTTCATGTAAAACAATAAAAATTTCTTATGGGCTTGAGAAAGAAGCACTGTTTTATGCAGAGAGTAGAGGTGGGATCATGGGTGTAAATAATTTGTGGGACCTGCAAAATCACCAGGTCTGGAAAAATACTTTTTCAGTTAAAAAGTACTTCTAGCACAGATATGGGGAGATATTACTGCATATCAGAAAGCTCTTGAACAGTACATAAAAGCATCCAGGAAGCGCACTTTAAGAAGGGAACACACCATGTATAGCCAAGACCTCTTCACAGTGGCAGGACTCCAAGTTAAAAGGCATATACAGAGAAAAGGCATAACGTTTGTCACTGCACATCTCCTTCTGCGATGCAGGTGATCTGTTCACCTAATGCTATGCACTCAAAGCAGTTTGGCATACTGCAGGGTCAGATATTGTCTGCCTCTGCTCTCATGTCAGCTCAAGTATTTGAGGTTTCCTGAGGTAACTAAAACAGAGTCCTGAGAAAGGAACAGGTCATAAACTGGCACTTATTTATGTTAAGTTTTTCCCTTTTTATTTTTCTATTTTACAAGAAACAGTCCTCAAGTTTAAAGAAAAAAAAAAAGAATTTTACAATTCTGTGTAATCAGACTAGTAATTTTCCAAAATTTTCCACAACAAGTTTCTTTTTTCCTATTTGTTTTAAGCTACAGTTTCTTCATCATAGTATTCAGTGTTCCCACTGAAAATACTAATATGTATACTGGAAAAGTTGCATACATGTAAAATATAATCCCTGTAGACTCCGGAGAAATTTTTCTTATCTTAATCAAATCAGACCTTGCATGTAGTCAGAAATGTTGTAAATACTGATGTTTCCTAAGAAGTCCATGCAGCAACAACAAAAAGACAAAGTGAATGAGGCACATCGTCAGCCCAAAAACATATCAAGAACTGTTTACAAATACTACTTCCAATGTCAGTAAAACTCATTAACAATTTAGGTGGCACAAAACCATTTTATATTTAACGTTTAAAAATAATTATGAATTTATTTTAAATATAATATTTATTTGTCTAATTCATCACTGAATTTTGGAGAACAGGTAATCAAACTTCAAATACATAAATATAGTGCTGAGGAGAGGTACATACACTTTAGATGCAACGGGTAGCTCAGTGAGGAAGTGACAGCTGCAATCTTAAAGAAAAAAAAGGCATAAACCTTTTGCTATTGCACTATATTACAAAGGTCTTTCTAACCCACTCAAATCACTGTTTTGTTTTATTACTTTTGATCCTGAGGTAAACTGTTGAGAAATAATCAGTGTCATTGACCCCTACTTGGTTAACTCTATTCTTCAGTGGTCTCTGAGGTTAATACCAGTTTTATTACCTTTTTACTGGGTAACATTATTGAATGTCATGGGGTACAGTACTAAAAGCCAGTGATGAAAAGAAACAACATCTGTGATAGTCTATGTGGAAGCAAAACTCCAGGAGAACCACAGAAACTTGTTTATATTTCATTTTTTTTATTTTTTTAGGAAAAAAAAAAATCATACCATACCAGGGAATTTTGTTAGAGTAAAACAGAATGAGCTACCAGTATCTGCTCAGGGGTTATTAACAAAAGCATGCCATACTGCACTGACAGAGCAAATGCGAGTGGAAGAACACATGTAGAGTTGCAAAAACAAAGCTTTCACATTGATCCTATCATGTATCTTCATGTAATAGCCAAGATTTGCTGGAAACAAAAACAAGCATTGAAAATGAACATTGCAAGGATAGTTTCAGATAGAGGAAGAGATGATTTAAGTGATAACATCAGAAAGAGGTTGCTACATCAGTATTGCACTATGAAATTTATTTTTTCAATCTATCATTGTTGCACAAGAATACTAAAAGGGTGGTAAAGTAGATTAACACCTGCAGATTTCTGACCATAAAAAAAAAACATAGGGTATTTGCTCAATATCCTGTCCTAATCTCAGTAAATGAGGGAGAGTCAAAGGACAAAAAAGATCACCAAATAATCATTTATGTCCTTCTTACATAAGGATACAAAGTGGGTCTCCATCTGGCTTGAACAAGTATCCAAAGAGTTCAGCAATTTGCTTTTGCAGTTCTTTACTCTCTGAAGTGCAGGGACACACAATAAGTAGGCAGTTCAATTTAAGCCGACAGAAGCTCATCATGCCTGGCTAAATTACATTTCTTGTCTTAACAACAGCAGAATTAGCCTGTGCAGCTAACATGGCTGGCACAGTAGGATCACCGTTTTATGAGTGGAAAAAGTGTACTTGAAAGTGTATTAGCAGTGCTTAAGAGCAGTACCTGAACACCTGCTCCTTACATTGATTTTTCTGTATGTTTATGGCTTTTCACCAACTGGGAAAAAAGAGGTAGCTTTTATTTTGATACTTGATTGTAGATTTAAAAGCCTGAACTTAAGACTGCAAGTGTGTGTTGCTTTTTTCCCCTCCCAACCCTTGCACATATCACAATTCCTTCAAATTCACTATCTGCTGTTTAATAAAGTAACTTCATAAAATGACACTTCACATATTATACACATGCATCAGTACATGTATATGCATGCATATAAATTAATTGGACTATCAATAATCTTGCTGCTTTGTACACTTCTGCTTAGCACAGAATACACAAGCAGTTTAAGTGATATAGATGACACAACAGCACTCTGCTTGAAGCAGTCCTCATTTCTAGTAAAGTTTATGTTTGACTCTAGAAATGTTTATCTCTATTGACAGAATTATAAAACATGTTGTCTTCTGACATTTGTTTACTACTATATACATGTACACAGTTAAATATTGAGAATTGGAGGTGTCCTATGTAGACGTTCAGTTCTCATGAAGCATCAGATAAAGCCAGAACAAGGAAAATAAAAGTGCTTTGAGCGTAAGACTTTGAGTACTAAGAATTCAAAAGCCAAACTTTGAATACTTCAACCCATAATAGTGATACAAAAATATACAAGCTGCATTAAATTAAAAAAGTGAATAGAAGAACTCTCTAGCTCTTTACAGTAACACACAAAAAAAGACCAGCAACAACAAAAAACTCCCCAATACCTTCTGAAACTTCCCTAGAAGAAAATAAAAGACTTCCTATGAATCCAGCTTTTATAGCTCTCCCCACACTCCCCACCTGCTGCACACACCTGAGGCATGCTGTGACCACTCATTGCCTCAACAGATTGAGCAGCCCCACCTGGCTCCCTGCCTCCCCGCCTGCGGGCCTGGGTCTCCTTTGGGTCATAGTTCTGGGGGTTGTCATCGGGCTCTGCTGTTCAGGGAGGGTAAAGCTGTACTGGGTACTGCAGGCCTCCCTTCATTGGTGACTGTTCTTGCTGCTTGTGGATGAGGTAAGAAATTATTTTTGTTGCTATCGTTATTTTGCTAGGGTAATCCTAAATCTAGATAAATTTAATTTAACTAAAGCTTAAGGAATTGGTGAGGGAAGGGAGAGGTGCTCTGCAACTTCTAATAATGGAGGAAAATGCAGTGGCAGTCTCTACTTGTGAAGCTCAATCATACCTGGATTAGCTGGCAAGCTTATGTAGCTGATTTTGAAGGGGTATTTTTCACCGCTTGACTTTAATCTTCTGATTTTGAAGCTTAGTCTTCTTGTGTTCTCTCTGAGGGGGAAATGAGCAGGTTCCTGCAGAGATGTAACAAGTACATGCATGATTTTCAAAAAATACTCCTTCTCCAGATGATTTTGGTCACACCACTATGCTGTTGCAACTTGAAACCAATGCTGATGTGATGGGGAGGGTTGTGCTCCTGTGGAGCTGTGTCATAGTCAGTAGCCCCTATTTAAGCTAACTGCTTGGAGAGCTTTTTAGAAATGTATTATGTCAATAGAAGCTATTTTTCTTGTGTTTATTTGAATGAGGTAAAGTTTGTACTGATGTATTCTTCTTTGTGAAGTACTGTGAACACGGTGAAGCTTGAAGGAATGATGGGAAAGGTTGCATGGCTGCTAACTGAAGTGTGAGCAGAATTTTGGTGTCCTTGCCAAAAGCAGGGGGTGTTTGGTTCAGCAGAGAACCTACTGTGTGTTCTGGGAAAGATTAAAGAGATACAACAATGTATTGTATGCCTTGAATAGGAGATTCTGAGCATAGTATAGGACAACTGAAGACTAGAGAGGCCCCAGTCAGTGGATGTATATGCTGTACCACAGAGGAATCCAGGTGGCTCTGTTTCATTTGGGGTGCCTAGGTATCAAAGCAGGCAGAACAACTGTGAAAAAGCAAACAAATATATTAATGTATTAGGGAGTAGATGATAATGGTTATTTAGCTTTACTTTATAAGGGAATACTTTTTCTTAGTATCTATGGCTATCAGGTATGTCACTGGATTTTATTTAATATGCAAGCATAAATATTGATTGAATTTTGCTTGGAGTAAATAAGCATGTCAAAAGATTCAAAGATGGTACAAAGAAGTACACTTCAGTTTACCCTGAACTTAATATCTCTGAGCTGGGTTATTAAGTGTTGTATGTCAATAGTTTCTATTTTCCTACTTTGACTGAGTTTTTAACTCAGTTCAAGCCTTTTGCTTTCTGATGGCGTTGCAGACTGTATGGCACAACTACAGGTGAGAGAATTCTGGAGAGGAGGATGTAAATTCAGATTCTTCCAGGCTGCTACTTAACTCTGTGTCCTTCAGGAGCTCTCACAGCTCTAAATCCATTTGCATTCTTGTCTCTTCCTGGCTGTCACTTTTCTGACAATTCAACCATTTTATGAGTTTCTTTCAGAGACAAGGAAGTCTTTTGTCTACAATGCATTTTACACCTGAAGCTCCTCATATAATGTATAAAATGTCAAGAACATTAGTTGCACTGAGGCGCTGGACTTTACAAGCGTTTCAGCTGAGATCTTGACAAGTTAAAAGTTTAATAAAGCAAGTTTGTATATGACAAAAAGTTAACTTAAGTTGTGCTCTGCCTCATACCTTCCTTCTTCCAATGATTCCTCTCAAATGCCTGCTGAATTCCATCTTCTTGTTTACTGCCTCTCTCAAAAGCTGGAGAGCTGTTAACCTGAATTAGTAGCTAAAACTCTGGACTAACACAGCTGAGAAGAATTCTAATGAATGATGTTAGCAGTCTGCACATGCTGCAAAACATACTTTTGTTTTATTGCTTTGGAGGTCAATACACCTCAGTGCAGCCATCCTTATGAGCTGAGATTATCCCTTCGCCCTGTGGCTGGCAAAGGGGAGTAGGGGGAAGCACCTGGAGCTGGAGATGTGCAGCCCTGATGCAGGTTGCTAGCCAGGGTGATCAGAGGGTAGAGCTTTCACTCTGGATCCAAGTGAGAGAGTAAACTAACAAGAACATAGGCTGGAGGCATATTATTTTTAAGAGAAAACGCGTGGGGACTTGTAATCTGGCTTCCGAAAGGCTTTTAGTGGCTTGGAGAAGCAAGGGGATGCATAAATAAAGAACATTATTTTAAACATTCTTCCTAACATGCCCTCTGTGAAAAATAAGCATTCTAACTGAAAGGATTAGCTTGCTTCTAACACCCATGTTACACTGGCAATAATCCCCTAAAGAAAAGTTTTTATTTTTAGGGGAAGATGTAGGTGAAAAATGTGGCTGGAGGTGCATATCTCCTGCCATTAATACCTTTAAAAATGCTTTCAAACAAAGATATAAAGTAGCATGTGTTTGAAGTAGGGTTAAAATGAGGAAAAAATCCCTTATTTAATGAAATCAAATAGATGTTTACTCAAAATTTTGGGACAAGTGTACTTGAGAAGGAAAAAAATAGGCTGCCAGGAAGTGTATTATTCCTTGCTCACGAGTCTACAATTTAAGAAGTTTAAATCACTTATTCAAAACAGGAACAGCACATTAATAATTAAATTACACAAGTACACAGATTAATTTTTGCAAGATAATGTAGTGGTGCTGCTTGCATGAAATATTCCGTCAGATAATATGCAAAGTATTTTATAAATATTTGGGTAGACAGTCGTAAAATAAAGGTTTATTGAATGAATTATTTGTAAACAGAAAAAGCAGCTGTTGCTTCTGAGGTAGCTGCATTATTCAAGGACTCAGCAGAACTTTTCACAACAGCAGTACTTGCAGAGTTATCTTTGGCCCAAACTTTTGCTTTCCACCCTTACACTCTTAGCTAAGAATGCCTGTGTAGTTCTTCTATGTACTAGTTTGTAGAACACTGATACCATGCAAGATGAAAAACTGTACATAGCTAAAACATTTGTTACTGTAATCTCAAACCTTTTAGCTTCAGTGCTATAATGTCTCATGGGTTGTGCTTGTTAAATTAATGTACTCTTAATTAGGGTTGTCAACTAAAACTTTGAATTTAGAAGTTCTGCAAGTAGATGGGGAGAATGCAACTATAGCCATGCACCTCTGTTAATCAGATTCCCTGAACAATATAGTCTCTAAAGTAATCAAGTATTTTCTTGGCACATAGCTGAGCAATAGCTTGCTTGGCAGAGGAATGAGCTGAAAATGAGCTCCTTTTCAGCTTCACAGAGAGGTTTTGATGCAAAAATACACTCAATTTCATGTGTAGCAGAAACATGCTTAGGATCCGTGCATACAAGGAAGGGGGCAAATGAAACTGCACGTGCTGGGCTGATGCCCCAGGGCATTGGAGAAGTGACTCATCCTAGGAGCTTTGTTCTTTTCCTGGCCCTTCTACTGTAATGTTGGAAGGGGTCCCCTGAAATCAAAGGTGAAAGGAGATCTCAGTTATGTGCAAGCTATGTAGCCAGGCTACAAGGTAACACAGGCCTTGCTAATTTATATAATGCTGAATCAATTTCAGTCAGTGCTTGAACAGGTGTTTTGCAGTTGCAATTCAGATATTACTCACTTTCACTCCAGAATAAATCCAAAACAACAAATGTGTATCAATTATATCCATTTTGTGCACACAGTGTCAAGTTGGTGCAAGTGACTGGCATATTATTCTGTCCTGAATTTAAACTGCAGCAAGGGTTTGAATTGAACTCAGGATAGCAAGTCACACTAACCGCTAGGCTGTCAAACAAGTCACTCATTACTTAGTCTGCATTTTATTTTTTGCCAAACAACCAGAACTTCAGGGCAGGTGGAAAGTGTCTCTTGCCTTTATCTCCTGGCGTCTTCCTCCTGTATAGCCCTGCATCTGTAAGATTTGGGACACTGTGATGGATGAAAATGGGAACAGAAAGGACAGACTGGTTGTAGGAGATGGATGGCAGAGGAAGGCCTGGGGAGGTTTAAGGTGGATCTTAGGAAGAACTTCTTTACTGAAAGGGTTGTTAGGCATTGGAATAGGCTGCCCAGGGAAGTGGTGGAGTCACCATCCCTGGAGGTCTTTTAAAAGATGTTTAGATATAGAGTTTAGTGATATGGTTTAGTGGAGGGCTTGTTAGTGTTAGTTCAGAGGTTGGACTTGGTGATCTTGGAGGTCTCTTCCAACCTAGATGATTCTGTGATGAGATCCTGGTAAACCCACCTGGAGGTGTGCCCCCAGCTGGATGCCAGGCATCACCTGAAGGACACTTGTAGTTCTTGCAAGTGAATGAAACCAGTCTAGTTCCAAAATTAATCTACTTCCCTCTTTCTTTTGCTTTGCTACAAGCTTGCTGTGGTGTTGCAATGTTATTTCTTACATAATTATAGAGTAGGCTTGTTTTCAGATAATGAAGCATGGAAGTGAGGAAGCTGACAGCGAATACCAGTATGTGGAGAGGAAAAAGCTGCTTCCCCACTTCATTAGTGTAGTCCAGCAAAAAAAAAAAAAAAAGTTTTAAATAAAAAGGGGCTGGCTTACCTTCTACCTTCAAGAACACTTAGGCATTTAAAGAAGGGGGGGAGGGGTGGAGAGTGGGAAGAAGAGAAGGCAGAAGGGACGCAAATGCTGCTTCCCTATCTGAATAATGCCAGTTTTCTTTTGACTCTCAGCATTTTCTGATGAACTGGCAATAAGAAGCTAACGGGTTTGTGACTGAGTTAAGTCTTCTCACTGCTCCTTCTATGGTTCCAGATGCCTTTCTGAGAGCCTCAGCAGAGCGTAGCGAGAGCTTAACAGAGGGTTCTGGGCTCCATTTTTGCTTCATCTGCCTTAAAAGGGGGTACTGGGTTTCAAAGTTGCTGACTCTGGCCTTGAGTACTCTTGGACAGCTTATTCATACCACTTGTGACTGAAAATCTTCCAAATGGCTGGCTGGCTGGGCAGTTGCCAAGCCATTTAACCTAAATCTGTGCATTGCAGCTGCCTTCAATTTTAAATACATCACACTGATCTCCAAAGATAGTTCATCTGTAACTATTTGGTAAGGATTCTCTGAAACAGCTTCTGCATGTTGGAAATTCAACAGAAATGAAATATGACCCCCCTGAGATATTAATCCTGCTAAAATGAATCAACACATTAATAAATGGCAGGAACCTGAGAAAATAGTCTCAGAAAAAAGGCACAGTGAAGGATAAAACTTTAGAGGTTTTCCTCTTGAATAATGATTTAAGAGCAAAAGAGAATAACTTATATGGGCTTAATTATTTCCATTCCATGTCTTTATCCATTGCCAGAAAATTTTAATTAAAGCAGAATAGGACTTCCTCCTGATATGACAACTACATAACAGCTTACAATGTTACTTTTAATGGCTGGGAGATGGATGACATAACTGAGGCAAAGCTTACTCAGCTGTACCTAGTAGTGTCCTAATGATGCCTGCTAATGCTACTCCAGCTAGAAACCTTTGCCTAGTAGAAAGGGTGCATTTTTCCTGTTAAAGCAATAACTGCATGCTATGGACATGTATAGTTTAAGTAGCATTTATAAAATTCAGTTTCAATCACTCAAAATGTGCAATGAAAGGAAGACAGGTGCATTTGGGGGTTTGAGAATGTTTTTTGCATATTGCTCTGCCTAATTATGTCCAGATAAATGATTTGAAAACCTCAAATTTGTAATGAGAAATATAAGTAAATGTTCTTTGTGGTACTTGATAAACTGTCTTCCTCTGTAAATCACGATTTCATAGAGTATTAGAAATAAGATATATCTGAACAATTGGAAGGGAAAGTAATTAGAGAAAGGCTTTTCTATCTATAAAACCCTCCCCTTGTTCTAGGAAAAGACTGGCAGTGTTTCAAAGATTTTGATGTTCATCCACACTTGCAAGTGAATTATTCTTACTGTGTTAATGTGTCTTTCCTTTTTATTAATATTGTTTATATTTATCTTACTTGTATTACCCTGTCTGTCATAATACTTGAGTAGGTAGTACATTCTAGCAGTTTCACTGATAGAAACACTGTTGAAAAGACATCTTGAAGCAGTGAAGCAGGATGGTACGTGAAGAGTAACTTAAAATTACTATTCCACATTCATACTAAAATATCACACCTATGGTATGCATACAGGTATCTACTAGGGAAAAACAGCAAGCAGACAACTAAAAATCTGTTCCAAAATCAATGCATAAATCAGAACAGCATTATTGCATTTGTGCATTACTTATGTGTTTGACTCTTATTAGGCAGATTTCAAGCATGCATTATCCTGCAGGAGTTCATGGGTTTTTGGTTGCTGCAGTCTTTATTACAAATATGCAGAATATCTTAGGCCAATGCTGAGAGTTCCTTTACTTATGTATTATTATTGGAAATAATTTTACTGCTCTGAGTTCCAAGCTATTGTGAAAAATGTTTTTAAGCATGCATTTAATTAGCTATGAATAAGGAGGAAAAGGAAGCAACCACCAATGTAAACTTTAAGCCAAACCATCACCTTATCAAATGTTTTCAAAGCTAGCTAAGAATCTAATTCTTTACAACAAGTGCCAAGGGAAGTTCAAGCTACAGATGCCCTGGTGTTTTTAGTTATCCTTAAAATATTTAAGTAGGTATTGCACCTTGTAATTGTATGGGATGAATGCACTAAAGTTTTTGATATGGTGCTTAGAAGTTAAAACAGGCGATTAGATGCAAGGAGTGCCAGCTTTATTTTTATTACTGTCTGCTTCCACACACCCTTACTGCCTGAATTTCAAAAAACATTTTTTTGGCTTGTAGATCTGTGCTTGAGGTCCCAACCCTGCTATAACTTTCTGGACTTTGAACCCAGATCACTTTAATCTTGGTATTCCTTCATTTATTTTCCTAGTCTGTAAGGGTGATGTGTTCAGTGGTTATTAAACTCAGATGCTACAGTGCTGTGGACAACACAACACAAAGGCTGCCAACCTCAGGAGACAAAAGGCTAAAGGGCTTAGCTTGTGTCAAGCACCCCAGTACTCCTGAGTAAAGGAGCACTTAATAAAAGGAAACTCATTAAAAGCCTTGAGTGATGAGGTAAACTGATATGCAGATGAAATTCCTTTCATTTTTTAACATAAAATGTTCAGATGTAGTTTTCTTGGTGTCAGACTAGCATCAGTGCATTCTGACAGCATATTAGGTAACTTGTTGACTTTTAGCAAGTTATTTGTGATCAGAATGATTGACTTGAGAATCGCCATCCTGACACACCAGTACTGCTCATTGGTGTCTCACCTTGCCTCTATCCTGAATTACTGAAACTAAGCTAAATAGGCGTAATGCTTGTTTGCCAAAAAATTAAATTACAGATCCTCATTGCATGTCTCCATCTTCACATGCGAGCCTATATTTGAGTCACTTGTACTCACCTGACAGTAAACAATCATGTGAAACCATTTGCAAAAAGCTGTGATGTGACTTAGAAGCACAAAGTAATTCACATGAGTCACTTGAGTTCAAAGAAGAGCTCTCAACCTTCAGATTGCTGATGTTAAACTTTTAAATCAAATACTTGTGTTTTTTGCTATAAGTTTAGAGTATGTTTGTACAGCATGCAAGTTTCCTGTGTGCAGAGAACTTCTGTAAGGCCTTTGCACTGACTGAAGTCTCATTGAAGTATATCCAGAATGGGTTTTGAAGCAGTACAAAATGCACAGTAAGCTTTGGCTGGGGCCGCCTCACTGAAGCAAATCAAACTGGAAGCAGGGAGATTTTTTTTCAGTCTCTCCTTTGCGACTCCAGCCTATAAAGAAAGGTCTAGCTTCATAAATGAAGGGCCATGCAATTAGCAGCTCGATGTTGGAAGTATCAGAAGACCATGGCTGTGACAAGTGGTGATTCTGTCTGTGCATTCCTTTATCATCTTTTGAGAAATGTTTTTGTTCTTTCACCTCCATGCAATTAATACATGGCTAGGTGTGGTGTCTTGTCAGCCTGAATCAGTTGTGTTGTTTTACATGGGCAGACTGATGCTACTGGTGTGATCTGAGGTGATTTATGAAGTGATTGCTCAACAGAGAAGGTAAATATTTTTTTTTAAAAATTGTTTTCTAATAACTGATTTTTCAGGAATTTTGTGAAAGCATTATGAAACCAACCCACAGGCACTGGTCTTCCCAAAACAACACAGAGAAACTCATCTTTTCAACTCATTAGCTTATATTTTCATTCCTCCAAAAATAACTCTTCAAATATGCTGTATAAATAGTGAGAGTTCAGTGACTTTTCATTATCAAGAAAGTGCATATAGAAAGCATGGACACTACTCTTATGGAATGTAGATTATATATATTACAGAAATACATAGAAAAACATTTTACTGTCATTTTAAAATTATGTATTCAATTTTTAAGTGATATTGTAATGAAATTATCTACCATAGATGAGAATTCCTCCATTGACATCTGACTGGGCTTTAAACCAAGCCAAATTTATTGACATCCTAAAGTACAGCCACAGGACCACAGTTGCTCAAAGTGTAAAACCACACCTACTCCTAGGTGTCTCAGCAGATAAACAGTTTAAGATTTTAAGCATGTGTATGAAAGATGTGTCCTAACTCCTAATGAATTATTAGATCCTTACCCCAGCAGGCAGAGATGGCATATTTATGAAGGTAGCTCAAGTAACAAGATGGTGTGGCTTACCTAATGTAAAGATATGATATGGTATAGAACAGGTCAGGTCTGGGTTTGAGGAAGCATATGCCCCATCTGGCAGACAAGATGCCTGGGTGCTCCTGCTGATGGTAGGCCATCCTTTCCCCAACACTTTCCCAATGCAGCTTGTGTTCAGCTATTGCCTCTTTCAATTCTGCTTACATCAAGGGGACAAATCACCAATTCAATGTGCCAGCACAAAATAAGGAAATATATGCAAACAACTAAACAGAAATTAGAGCAGGACAGAACTGTTTAATTAGCAATATATGCTACAGCAAGTAAGAATTAATACCAGCTGCATTGTATTAAACATATTGAAAGATGGGTGTTATGTACTGAAACTCTATTGTGTGTAGAAATCATTCAAATTAATCCCCAGCCTTTCTCCTTGAGCTTCAATATTTATTGCTTCTAACTCTACTCTTTCTACAGCAGAAGCTACAACAAAAGCAAATATTACTGCTTTTACAGAAAGTGTCAGGTACTTTTTAATGATTAAGCATATTTTGATCTCATTCAGAAGTAATGTTAAGAGGAAACAAAATAAAATGAAGATAGAAGTAAGGAAGAATTTAAATAAATCACTAACCCCAAAGTGTCAGATTCTTCATATCCTTTTGCAGGTAGAATAAATTAATAAATGAGCAGTCTTGGCACCAGTCCTGTAGCATTGCTCTGAGGTGCCAGGGGATGTGTGTGCTCTGGGATGTACTAACAGAAATATCTTGGGATATCTCCACTCTTCCTTGCTCTGCACTGTTCTTCATAGGGGTCATCCTCTAGTCTTTCCCATTACAGGTTCCAGTTTGTGGAACCATTCTAAATCATTCCTAATATGCTTTTAATAACTTATTTGCTTACAGTGCTTACTCTGCTGTTCAAGTTCTTCCAAACCCCAAGTAAATAAATTAACAGGAAGAGAGCTTCTTTTTGTCAAGTAAAGGGATATGTCCTTGATAATGTTTATCATGAGAACTTGCAGATAACAGTAGTAAAACCCAGAGTAATTATAACTGCTATTCTAATGAAAAAGTTGGTAGTATAAATACTACACTGTTTAATATAGAGTAAATAATAAAAGGCCAGAGCAAGTTATCAAAAGATGTCAGCGTTTTGCACTTTTCAGATTTTTCCCTCAATGTTTCACAGGGAGAAAGTAAATTTGTCACTCCGAGTATCAAGTTATGCAGTGTATCTTCAGAGATGAGGAATACAGTAGCTCAGGTGGTCAAGTTCAATTTGAAATTTCCAGAAGGGTGATTAGTAGGAAGATCTGAAATGGAGTAATTTTTGTTATATTAACTCTGCTTAAATTATTAAGTAATTTTTTAATTAAATTACTTAAATTATTAAGTAATTTTTGGTATATTAACTCTGCTGTTGGGAGGTTTGTATATGTATCAGGAGTGGGGATTTATAAACATACATTGGCTATTTCAGTTACAAGCAGTTTGGGGAAGGCTTGACTTAATATCCTGTTCAATGCTGAGCACATTGTTAGCAGTTCAATAAATAATGAACATATTTTCACAGCCTGTTTCATGTTTCACAATGAGGTGACATTCACAACACTCACAGTGACATTGAAATGTTTTCCCACCTCTTTGTAGCAGAAGGGGCAGAGAGAAGCATTACCATTAGAAAGCAGGGTGATAGTTAGAGTTAAGCATTGCGAAACTTCTGTCAGGAGCCCAGGATGAAGGACTGAAGGACTCTGGATTTGAGCGTTGTGCTTCAGCTTCAATCTGAAAAAAAAAAAAAAAATCTATATAAAAGTACACATTTACAGTGAAGTCCTTTGAAAAACTTCTGTATCATGAATCTAAGGCAAATTTTTTCATTCCTTGATGCTTGAAAATCAAAAGGTAATCTTTGATTTACCTAGTGGTTTAATGTGTCTCAGGTTACCTTTTTAATCTGAGGTTTAATTACTCCAGATTGCCTTCCAATGATTTATTTGAGAATCTTTATTTACCAGTGGGCAATAGACTAAAAGCAATGATTCTGAGCATTAATGATTTCAGAGATTAATATCCTATGCAGTTTGTCTCCATGAATTTATTCAGACCAGATGAGCTGAAGAGAGGGTAGAATAGAAACAGATATGACCTCAAGGTAATTTCCCTCATTTTTCTGAGAAGTCTGTGGACTGCTTGACTTTAAGCAGTTCAGTCCTGCATAGTGGCTCAGAGGTTGCACTCTGCCTCATACTTTCCAGAAGGAAAAGTAGCTTATAGAGAAACCACAGCACTTCCAGCACAATTTGCTCATGTTTTGCTTTAAGAATAAAACGGGTTTACAATGTGTATCTGTTTCTAAAACTGGGGAAAAAAAAAACACACCATGGAGTGTACTCAAATTTGGAAGACTTTAATAATTAGCTTGCTGTGATTGAGACATTGTATTAATGAAACACTGGCTATTTTCACACATCTAGAAACTGATAACATTGAACTTCACTTTTTATTATTTAAGTTACTGCTTTCACTAGATGGCACTTTCTCTTCATCACAATGTTTAACTTGTTAAAACTCCTTAATTGATAAATGCTCACTATTGTCTCACCACCCTCATATGGACTTGTTCATAGCTTAGCATTTGTGTTTACAGTCCTTTAAGTAAGAAACCTGATGAATAAAGCTTTTTCAACTGAAGATGCATGGGGTGGGAAAGCTTTGCATGTGGCCTACGGGCCCTGTAAGGAATGGAGGACATTTATAAGAGCATTATATCTGACAGCTGTGGGAAAGGCTTTTTTCCTCCTCTGACCCTAAAGCATGAGAAAAGTGACTGCATTGTCACCTAATGTATTTGAAGACTCATGGTTTTTCTAATAAGAGTGTAATCCAAGAGTGCAGTTAACTGTTTTAACAGCCACTACAATGTCTCATATAAATTGAACTGCAAAATGCAGCCTTCATTCAACCTGCAGTTGAAAAACGGATGTTTTGTGGGGGACATTGCCTTGTGGGATGGTCAAAGTCTCCTATTCACTGATTGATAAACACATACTTGTTAATTGCTCCAGAAGAAGGAAGTAGGATGTGAGCCCATATCCTCTACTTCCCTGCCCACTCCACCATTTCTCTATCCTCCCTATAGTGCCATTGACTGTTGCCCAGTGTAAATGTGTGATAAGGTTCAGTGTGGTGAGTACTTCTGGATTTTTGATTTGGGTTTAATGTTTAGGTCACAAAAATTAAAGTTTGTAAAAAAAATAAATAAATATCAAAAATATATAAATTGTGATGAAATTGAGTTGGAGAACCTTACATGTAGACATAGTGAGTCATGGCTGTTGTTATACTAACTTATCTTCTAGCCATTGGCAGTTATAGGCTATTTTATTCTTTGATGTTTTATTTTTAGTTATGGTACTGTAAACAAGTTTCAGAGATCATATGAGTACCAGTATCAGCAGGGAGAATTTAGAGTATATAATAACATTAAGTCACAAGAGCCACACGAAAGATAGTTCCCCTTTATATAGTGATCATTCCTCAGCTTGAGGGAATTTTCTAAAATTCTAAAGAGTTTCTTACTATATACAGCATGTTTTCAATTAAAATTCCTTGGGATTCCACATATACAGGTATGAAAACCAGGAAATGAAAATAAGGAACCACTTCATCCTATTACTTATATGCTAGGGCAGGTAAAAGGTTAGGTAAAACATGTTCTAACCCACACTGCAAACAGCAGAGCATTGGCCAGTGATTATCTGTGATAGTTTGCATTCTCTTAGGCTGTATTCCTCTTTGTAAGTATTCTTAAAGGACAGAAGTTCCTGAGAAAACATGGCTATCAGTGTCACCAGAGTTGGAATTAGTATCTGTACTTGCAGGTATTCTGAACATCTGTAAATGTTTTAAGTATACTTAGGTATATAAAGTATTTAAATGTACTAGTTTGAGCAGAGAAGGAAGTATAATCAGAATAAAAAATACCATAAGAATATGTCTTTACATGAAATAAAATACTAATTTATACTAATTTATAATCAGTGTTTTGTATTATATAAAATCATTGTCCTCATTGCTTTTTGTCACATAGATTTCCAACTAGCTTCCATAGAAAGAATACTAACTTTTTCAAAGTGTCATGTTGTAGTAAAACTGCCATATGTTGGAATCTTAAGTCAATAAAATAGTTTAGCTTCTTGCTTTTTAGGCATTACTGGTTGTATGCATTTACATTTATTATGTAAAATTAATGCTATCATCCAAAATTTGTGTGCATAGAGCACTGTCAAACTTCATATGCTAAGGCTGAGACTTTTCTATAGCAAAGATCTATCTGCCAGGAAAACACTTCTTCAATCATTTCTTTCAAAACAGCTGACCACATTGACTTTTCAGCAAGCAGATGAAGTTTAGCTTAGTCACCTTTGTGTCACGGATTTCTTTTGCTATTTCATGACAGCTTGCTCAAATGTGTTTATTTTGAAAGGTGGTCATTTGAAATGTGTTTATTTTTGAAAGGTGCAGCAGATGCATCTTAGTGTTTAGGAGCTGAAACTGGTATAAAAATATCCATTTATATTAAGTATATCCATCTCTTCATAGATTATTGCCATGCAATTACAATTCCATACTAAATCTCCCAGAGGAGACAGTGCTGACAATAAGAATGAATAGCAGTGCAGCCCCTTGCTCATGTCCCAGATGCTTAGTCAGGAAGAGCAGGAATCTGAAGACCGTAATGCTGGTGATATCACAGATAACTCTGATATCCTGAAAACACTAAGTGTCAGGAGTTGCTGTGAATACACTGTTTTAATTCCTTCGGTTTTCAAGCCTAAGGAACATCATGTCATATCACAGTCCTGGTGAGAGTTTTGTGGAAAAAATATACATGTACAACTATGTAATCAAGACTTTACCATAAAGCATATTTAGAGAGGGACCAGTGAAGGTTATAGAATGAGCACTTATTCTGGCAGCTTTTGAATTATTGACATTGTAGCCTTAGTCTTTATTATGTAATGCAAGTGTGTGTGTAGCTTGGTATAAAATGAATGAAAGTTGCACTTAAGGCTCTTAATTGTCCCAGGTTGACCCCTACTGATTAACACGTCATGCAGTTAACATGCATGACACTTGGGAGAGAAGAACAGCAGAGGATTTTTCTGTAAGCATTCTAGGTCCTGTTAGAGAATAAGATTCAAAGTTAGCCTAAAGAGACTGCTGTTGTGCGTTAGTTTCTAACAAGAAAAACTTCTCAAAATTTATGCATGAAATTGATTTTTCAGAGCATTGAATACAGTTCTTGACAGATTTGTGACACAGAATGAACGTTTCAGTGGAGACTATAATCTCCTTTGGGCTAAAACTAGGTTGAACACTTATGAGGATGAGACTGGATGAATGCAACCTGGAAAACAACAAAGGGGCTGTTGATCTGTGCTTCATGAATTTGACTAGTTTTGTTTTTTAAACTCATGTATATTTTACACTATAGCATATTACAGCACACAGCTCTACTGTGCAGTTTTGTGCGATATGAAAAAAATCCTTTGGTTATTTTAAATGAGATGCTGGTAACTTAATGAGGCACCTGCCAGTTCTTTTGTGTTAAGGGACAGTGAGTAATTATTCCCAATGCAACTTCTCCATGTCATACACATCTTTTTGCATCTCTCTTCCAAAGTAAAGAATCCTAATATCTCTGGTTTGCCTCAAGTCAATGTCATTCTCTTTCTTTGGCCATTCTTGCTGTTTTTTGTGTATATTTTATAGTTTCTTTCAAAATTGCCTTTAAGAGGTAGCAAACTTACACAGGACTTGTAATAAGCAGTACTGAAGGGATTTATATACATGTAGTGTCATCTTCTTTTTGCTCTCAGTTTCTTTTCTAGTAAGTATCAACATTCAATTTTCTTTTGACCACAAATGAATATTGAATGATACTTTCAAAGAGTTGTCCATGCCTCCCTAATCACTTTTCTGAGTATCAGTAGATTTAGAGCTATCACTGTATATATTTTCCTCAGAACAGTACTTTCTTCATAAACACTCATTTTGCATTGGATTTTATCTGCCATTTTATCACAAAGTCACTTAGTGTTTTGAGATATTTCTGTTATTCTTTGTAGTTCACTGATTTTTTTTTTACTGTCTTAAACTTTAAAAAGCAGAGGTCCCGATGCAGATTTCTGTGGGCATTTTAATGCTTGCCACAAATTTTCTACCTTTGTCAGTTATCAATTCATGAGGGAAAATGTCCTCTTTACCCCATGATAGCATGGCCTTTTTACCCTTAAATTTTCAAAGCTAACACCTTGGAAATCAAATGTACTATATCAACTTTTTGCAAACATTTTGATAAATTATGGAAGAGATGCTCACTCAATCAGACTTAACAAGGCTAAAGATGCTCATTGAAGCTTCTGGTGTCACCAACAAATCAGAAATGTAAAGCATCCAGCAACTGCTTGGCAAACTATTGCAAATGCTGGGGCTAGTATTTTATTGAATATATCATTGGGCAATTGGCAATGGCATGAAGTTCAACCAAGGTTGATGCTGGGTGCTGCCCCTGGAATGGAGTAATGCTGATTACAGGCACACACCGGGAGCTGAGTGGCTGGTGAGCAGCTCAGCAGGAAGGGACCTGGGGGTGCTGCTTGGCAGCAGACTCAGCATGAGCCAGCAGTGTGCCCTGGCAGCCAGGAGGACAAACAGTGTTTTAAGACATGTTAAACATGCCATTGCCAGCTGGTCAAAAGAGGTGATTCTCCCACTGTATTTAGTATTGGTGCAGCCTCACCTTGGATATTGTGTGCAGTTCTGGGTTCAAAAACATAAAAAAGATGTTAAAGTACCTGAAGGTTCCCAGAGGAGGGCAACAAAGCTGGTAAAAGGGCTTGTAGGCATGTGCTGTGAGGAGAGGTTGAGGACATTTAGGTTGTCCAGCCTGGAGCAAAGGAGGCTGTGAGTGACCTCGTTGCTTTCTGCAGCCTCCTGAGAGGCAGGTGCTAGTCTCTGCTCCCTGAGAACTGATGGCAGGATGTGAGGAATAGCACACAGCTGCACAAGGGGAGGGTCAGACCAGATGCTGGGAAAAATGTACTTACCTTGAGGGTGGTCAGACACTGGAACAGGCTTCCTGGAAGGTGGTTGATGTCCCCTGCCTGTTGGTGTTCAAGAGGCAGTTGGACAATGCCCTCATAGCATTCCTTACCTTTTGGTTAGCACCGAAGAAGTCAGGCAGTTTGGACTAGACAATCTTTAAAGTTCCCTTTCAAGTGGACCTTTCAACTGAACTATTCTATTAATAGACAGTCAAGATACCTTGGATACTAAAATGTTTTCTGTGACCTAATAATCTTTTTTTTTTACTAGTGGAAGGTGACTTTGACAGTCAGATGATCAAGGTTAAAATGAGATCCCTCATTGGACCCTACCAATCTGTCAGACTTTCCAGCAGAAAGTTCTCTATTTAGAAATAAGGAAAACAAGATAGAATTTGATAAAAATCACTTCTAAATTGTGGCCCAGAATATTTTCTTCTATTTCTGATGGTCATACATCCTCAAGCATGAAGATTCTCAAGCAGGCAAGAAAAGTCAGTATATAGGCACATCTATATCATTAATTAGAGTTTTTATGTAGGAGTAGTAAATTCCTTGAAGATAGAGAACTGGGATTGAATCAGACAGGCTGAGGATCCTTGGAAGTGTTCTGTCTAATCTGATATAAAGGAGGGATGTCTTTTTTTCCTTAAGGAAGGGCAGGCTTTGGTTATATATTTAGCACCAAAAGAGGGCTATCAACTGACAATTTGAGCAAAAGTGGGTGACTAGCACTGAACTACATATTATGCCTGTACAGTGAGATATCAAAGAGATGATTGAACATGCTTTGAAACTGGAAGCAGTATGATCATGCTAATTAGCCTCACAGAAAGACTGGGTCTGCCACCTTAGGTACAGTGTCACGCTAATACAGGCTGGTTGCTTTTGGATCCAGGCAAATGTACCAGCTCAGACACATCCCTTCAGGGATCCCAAAAGTAGTCTCTTAACATGCCCTTGACATCTCCTAAACTTCCTTGGTGTCCCACAATGCATTATGATATTTTTCAGGTGAGGTAGGTATAAATAATCTATATGAAACAAGTTGCTCAAGACGTGGAACTTCTGTTATGTTTGTTTAGTCATAGCCATCATGTAACAAATGGTTGGTGGATGCTGCTATGCTCATCTTTTATTTACCTTCCAATTTGCCACTAGCTGTTCTTTGTCATCTGTTCAATGCTATATTTGTCTTAGTAGAATAACTTGTAGTAGGCTCTTTCATTGGAAATTACTTATCTAATGAGGTCATTGACCTCAAATGTGCTAATAAAGCCATCTTAATCATATGCTTGTCTTTAAAAATAAATATATAAGAAATGTGAATCCTTTTCTAAAGGACAGGCAAGTGTTATTTCATTAAAGTAATGAATGAAGTAGGAGAATAAAGAAATTTTGAGGAAAGGAATTATGCCTAGACCAACTTCTAAGGAAATATATTGTCTGGTAGTATTTCAATGCTTGAAACTCAGTTTCAGCTGTTCTATTAATAGTGTTCTTCTGTTTTAGAATTCTTTTGTACAGTATGTTACATTAGTAAGCATGATATTATAGTAAAACTGAGGAAAAGAGGTCAAATCCTAATTTTCTTCTCAGTTATACAAATTCAATATTAATTGATTCAACTCAATAGAGATTTTTGACACTCAGATATGAGATGTGAATTCAGTATCAGGAATTCTGGATGTCTAGTCACTTCCATTGCACTTCAAGTGGAACAGAAGGAGTACTCAAGATAGATGAATTAGTCTCCAGAATATAAAGGAGAACACAAATCATAACGCAAAGTGTGACACTACATCCAGGCAGACAGACGCACAGACCAAATACTGTCAGTTCTTCTTGCTTGCCTTGTTCATATTTTAGTAAGAGATCAAAAACTTGGTGCACAATGGATTCTTGCTAAAGTCTTCCATTTTTAAAGATACTACTGGAAGATCCCACTGAAGTATAACTAACAGCATGCATCTGTCTTCCCTTGCCAAACCTGAGGAAATCTGTTCATGGGAATCTTGTGATGTTCCAGCTTTGCAGAGGCCGTTGTTTGAATCCAGACTCCTCACACACCTCATTCATTAAGCAACATGAGTAGAATTGAATATAATCTGAGGCAGCATTACAGTCCTCCCACAGCATCAGAGCAGTTGCACATAGGAGACATTTGTGATCTGCTTTTTCAGAATTTCCCCTTGAAAAGTCCAATAAGCACTTGAAAATAACCTATGTGATCACTGTTAGCAGAGGCCAAAAGAAGCCAGTGAGGTCAAGATCCACCTAATGTCCCTTAATTGCCACAGGTGTATGAATCGGGAATATGGACTTTTCTCCACAGCCAAAAGTGATTACAGAGGTACAAGGGAAAGTTTCAAGGGTTATAGGCTTACCCACCTAGCATAAAACACAAACCTGCAGCAGGGAAAATAAGAATATAAATTCTTATAGGTAAGAACTTATACCAGGGTGAAAATTAAACCACAATTATCAGCCATATTAGGCTAGTCAGAATGGTCTCTCAATTGATTAACTTCAGAAGACAGGTGTTCAGCATTGCTTCAAGTATTTAACTTTACAGAAACACTAGTATGAACTGTACTTTTTGGAGAATATTATTTCATTGTTCTTTTGTATTTATACTGAAGAAACCTATAAAATGAACTACACAGACTTATATGCACAAATACAGGAAATCAGCCATTCTGAGAGGGGAACAGGATAATCAAATGTCTGAGTAAAAAAAAAAAAAGGTATTTTAAATGTTTTGTTATGTTTTCCAATCTGTACAGTCAGTGATCTGTTCTTTTTTTTCCCTTGCCTCATCAGGATGTTGCAAATATGCAGCTGCCTGCTCAATGGAGTTAATGAATTCCAGCACAGGTGCTCTTGATTGTATTGCATAATTGAAACCCTTTTTCTTTTTCCTATTCCTGTCTTTGCATCTTCATTGTGCTTTATATTTCCTTTCTTGTTCTCTCTGGATGGCTCTGAGTTGGGTGGTTGAGGGAACTGAGAGTTGGTATTTACACTGCAAAATGAAAAACAGCTCTGATTAAAAGGGCTAATGTAACAGCTGAGTTTGAAGGAGTTTAAACATTGGGCAAGCACAGAAATTGAGTTTTGCAGGTATGCTACTGACATTGTTTGTAACCTGAGATTTCATAAGGTGTCTCTTTTTGATAAGGCTTCTGTGGGGCTTTGAAGCATTTTGAATTTGTGATATGCTAAATATAGGAGGCAGAATAGAGAAGACAATGCTAAAACAGACCTCTATTAATAAAAATAAAACCCTGGCCCAACCAAAGCTGTGGCAAAATTCCCATCAACTTCATTAGAGTCATGAAATCAGGACTTTTTTTTTCAAGGCAGATAGAAAACTTAGCTTAGTGTGGATCAGAGTTGCCATTAACTGTGTTGAAGATGTCTTTCTGTGTGTGGGGAAAAAACATTCTGGTTCAGGCTTCTTTATCAGAGAGAGCCTTGGATAGTATCATGTTAGGCTCTGATATTAGAAACCCTCTGAATTTCTAGGGCATATGAATGGAATAAAGCAGGTCTCAACTGTATAACTGTATAGAAAGTCTATGTAGGACAGCTAGGAAGTTTGATTTGCACAGGCAGTTCCTAGATGCAATTGTCAGCTGACAAACACTTTGGATATGGCAAATGCATTAAAACTGACTAAGCCCCATGCATTTAGCTGGCAGCAGATAGAAAGAAAAACCCAACAAATGAGAGATTATTTTGGTTTACTGACAAGGAATGCCATTTATGTGTCTTATAGAATGAGAACTCTCAGTGGAGAGAGCCATGCAGTAGCTCACCACTGTCATTGCAAGAAAATGCAGCATGGAACAGAGATAAAGCTGTTTAGTGCCGCCACCCACTTCAAAAACAAGCAAAACAAAACAAAACAAACAAACAAACAAAAAAAAAACAAAAAAAAACCAACACAAACAAACCTTGAAGTTTTGGAAAATAAATGAACACGAAAGCAACAGACAGGAAGACCAAAACTGCTTGTACTTTCTACAGTCGTGAGCTTAAAACAAAAGGTAAATTACCTGTCACTGAGACATGGAATTTCAGAAATGGTATATAAAGTATTTTTCTAAAATACAGTAGTGAAAGATATCAAAGGCTAGAACTGAGAACTGTGATTTGAGAATTTTGTAAAACACAGTGAAACTGTAGTCTCGTTTCAACATGTGATTCAACAGAACAAAAATGTTTATTAAAAATATAAAAAGATAAGGCTGTTAAAAGTAGTTACCATTAATTCAGAAAGTTCTTATCTTTGGGTCAATACAGCTGAAACTAACAACACATACAAAGTCTTATTTTTAGTATTAATATGCAACTTACCTACAGCAAGTAGATAGTATGGGAACTAGCCTTACACAGCAGACCAACATACTGAATGCTGCTGTAAAAAAGCCAGTTGAAAGAGCTCCAAAGCCTGATGGGGCTGCAGCACCAGGGGCTGTTGAAGGCCAAAACAGTGTGAGTGGCAGGGCACTGGTAGCCATGTGTGGTGCTGGAGGCCCCCAGCCCTGTGCTGTACCCCAGCTCTGTCCTCACTGCTTGTGGGCAGCCAAGAGATGAGTGGTGTTGCTGGAGCTGTCAGATGTTTTTGTAAAACATAACTCAAGACCCTGTGGTCTAGGGACTGCTGATGGTATCTTCCCATAGCAGCAGTTCTAGCTGGTGATGTTAACAAAGGAGTTAAATATATGCAGGAGAGATGAGGTGAATAAATTCCATCCTTAGCTAATGGCTGGATGAAAAATGCTTTGCCTTCAAGCTTTAATTTTCAGGTCATGCTATTAAATTACTTGAGCCTTCTATCTAATGTGCTGGAACATCAAGGGTTGATCAACTTCAGGTGGGGGACACAGGAAAAAATGCTTATGCAATGGGGAAGATAGGTGAGATGGGACCTGATTTAACTCAGAATGTTTCCAGCTTATTATTGGCCTAAGAGGAGTCCAGTACTGCATCAGACAAAATACTTAATGTATTTAATATTCCAGAGGAAAGGCATACTGAATAAACTGAAAACTGAAGACCAGCTGCATCAGTGCCAGTGCTTGCAACTTAGCCTTGTGCTGTTCCAGAGATACCACTGCTGAAGTCCACAGCGTATTGCTTTCTTTGCTTCACTGCATGCCAACAACCGTGTACGTTCTAACAAGTGTAGTATGATAGTGCCTAAGGTACTACTTAATAACACATATGTTTTTTTTTTATATTAACTAATTTTTCCCAAAGTCTGGGAAGAATCCAGACACAGGATTTGTATATAAACTGTGCATCACCAAATTCGTTTTTTCTTGTTTACTTGGTGCTTTATTTCCCATGAATGGCTACAAAATAAAATAATATAAATATATATATATTTTTCTTTAAAAAAAGACAATGCCTCATGCATGGTCCTTTCCACCCATTCTTTTTATCTTTTTAATAGAGGCTGTACACATAGCTTTTTATTGGCTCACTTGTTACTGTTTGTGTGATGTTGTCCATTGCGGTGTCACCAGACTTGCTGGCGAAGCCTGCAAGTAATGTTATTTTGTGCATGAATGCAATGTCCTCAAAGCTATGCAAAAGATGGAAGATTAACTTCTGTCCTATAACTCATCATAAAGACTTATCAAGCAGTTATTTTCTCACAAATATTCCTGATGACCTCATAGTGCAACCTTTTAATCAACTCAGACTTGTTTAAGAGCAATGATGAAATGCTTTATGGAACAGGAGGGGTAAAGCAGAACTATTATCTATCTGCAGTCTTATTATAAGAAAACTGGAAAAAAAAACAAAAAAACAAAAAAACACAAACCAACTCTGATTCCTTGATCAGATGCTGCTGTTACATTTTCTGGATGTGAGTTAGTTTTACCTGAATTAATGAGATAAGCTGATCTTGGAGAGAATTTTAATTTACAGGGATGCAATTTGAGTGCTAGTTATCCAGTATGCTCAAATAGTGACTAAGTGCATCTACCTCAAGGCTTTGTGTTTATGTCCCTATCAAAAGGGATTTTAAGGTCTCAAATCTAAGAAGATAAATACCCTAGGAGTGAATGAAAGGAGAGCTCTGGATTTGCAGTTTGATCTTACACAGTGTTGATTAGTTGGTGTTTGTGGTAAGTCATAGATTTACCTCAGTTTTGTACCTCAGTTTTCATGTGCAGGGCCAGCTCAGCAACTCATGTACACCTACAATAATGAGCAACATGGAAAGTTGTGATATCTGGAGACAGTCTTTGAGCAAACTCGTGTGCACAGCCTAATTTTACTCTATGAAATGCAGTGACAGATTTACATTTTGTTTTAAGAATGTGCCTGGAAGTGAAACTGGTGAGCAGTACAGGTGAGCCGCGTTCACATTGCCAGTGAAATACGTATTTTGCTCAAACTCTGAGGCAGGCTTTTTCAGGGGAAGCATGAGGGGAAGGTGATGTGTTAAGGTGGAATGGAGCATATAACCTCAGTAACCTACCATGTATAAAGATATTGCAGTTCTCTCCAGAGTAACAGGTACAAATCCAATAAATTCAGTTAAAAATATTAAAAATCCTAATTTGGAATGAATGCTAAATTGCAAGTACAGTTAGGGTATTGGAAGAGATTGAACCTAACAGTTCTCACTGTTGCATTTTCTGATTTACATTCCCACTAGTAGAAGTGGGGGAGATGATTAAACTTAGAAGCAGACTTCCAAAAGAGTCACAGGCAAAGATTCTCCAGACTCCAATGATACACTTGTCTTGATACACTTGTCTTTTCCTTTTATAAACCATTTCCATGAATTCCTCTCATATTACTTAATTTACTGTAAGCATAACTAATATACTTTTCCTCACTATGAAGGGATTTGTGTAGATACACACAATGAATCAAGTTGCAATATGAATCAGTTCAGAATTTTGGAGGGATCACATGGCAGACTGTTTCAGAGAAGCATTTATATATTTACTGTGAGATCTAAAGCTGAATTCAGAAGGTGCTTTTCATGTTATAGATACGTATAGTAATCAACTATAACACCTGAGGAGAGGCAAAGAACCTAAAAGCAGCCCACAAAAAAAAGATGAAGAAAGAGTGGTTATTTCACTGTGTCTATAATTGCAGCTGTTTTTTAAACAGCTGTGAGCTCGTTTTTATTTAGTGCTTGCTTTTAAGTATGGTAATATTCTTATTAATAAAATGTCTCATTAGAACATTCAACAAAACACCTGTAAAATTAATTTACTGGAAGGATTTTTTACTACTCAATTTATCCCAGTAAAATTATAGCTATGGCTATTGAGATGTCTGAAAGTATGTATTTTTATTAATTAATTTTTATTAATTATGGTATTACACACATTAAAACCAGCCTCTTACGCCACAAATAATAAGTCAATTTGTTGTTATGTGCAGCAATGATGGCAGAAGGAGGAAGACAGGAAAATGAGGACTTTTTTTCTGTTCATGTGAGCAATCAAATGTTGTGAAAGGTTACCAGATATCATTCCATCAAATATTTCTCTGAGGTTAAAGGGGGTTGACTGGCTATGCTAGAGACTAGATGTATCTATAGATTATGACTAAGGACTGTATCATTCACTAAGTAACTTGTCTAAATTGATCTCCAGATTTTGGTGACTGTGAGTCATTTTCAAGATTTGAGGCTCAATGTGATTATATGAAGATTTATTACATGATTTTCCCCTTTTTTTGATGATATCACAATGAAAGACACTGCTAAGAGGGTGTAAATTATAAAGATGATTAAGCCACTGTAATACAAATCATTGAATGAAAGCTTGGTTTAAAATCTGACTTATTAAATGCCTGCATTTTAATAACATTGAATAATTTACATATATATATATATTTTTTTTTTTAAAAAAAAAGGAATTCTACTCTTCACTTTAGTGTTTCTTTGTGCAGTGTTTCCTTCAGAGCAATATGCCAATGGATTTTCCAGTGGAGGCTCCTCTGTAATGGCATTGCTTTTTGTTTGTGTTCTGAAGGTTTCTGTGTGATGGCACTGCACCCTATGGTGGTGCCCAATGCTGATGCTTCTCCAACAGACATCCTCTGCAGGGAGGATGCCTGGGTGCTGAGCTACCTACTGACACCAGTGTTATCTCTAGGCCACTTTTTCCTGCCTGTCAGGTGCAGAACAGAGACAGAAATCAGCACTTAATTCTTAGTAACCAGAGCTAGGAAACCTGGTGATGTCATAAGCAGCCTTAATTTTTCTGATCCTCAAAAATTGCAAGTTATGACTGAGATTCTCTTCTTGAGCTACTTTCAGTTTTCAACATAGTTTTATTTGCTTTGGGTTTCTACCAGGGGTAGAAAAAATGTTGGGAGAGGATTTTTCCTTTTTAAGGAGTTTTTTTTAATGTTCGTGCTTGTTGGCTCATAGAGAGCACATAATGTTTCTCTTCTTGAAGTGATTGAATTGTGATCAATATATCAGCTTTCAGCAACGTTAATGTGGTACAACAGACTGAGCTTCTGGATGTTGATTCATCCCTGATTTTCAAGAGGCTGTGTGGGAAGCTTGCTTGAAAAATAAAAGCCTCTGAAACTCCCTTGGAGGAGAGAGAAGTTGGAAGAAGTGCGGTCCTGGTTTTACTCCCTAATGAGATTTTATTGGCATACATGAGAGAGAACCTTTGGCCTGAAGGGTTGCATTAACAATAAGGAAGTCTTTTGTTCCACACTTCAGTAAGATAGGTGAAGCTGCATCACTTGAAAATAGTCAATTATAAATGTTCTGGCTACGTGACCAATATTTATTATTGTGGTTTTCTTGTTCTTCTTGTGGCAAAACTTAATGGCAAAAGGCTGTAGTTGGAGCAAAATGGAAGGATGGAAATCAAGTATTTAGGGACACAGACCAACGGCTGTCAAGAATTTCTGTGGTTTGGACAAACACATCTGTAAAATTAAAAGAAAATAGCTGCGGGAGGTGTGTGTGTGGGGTAGTAGGCGAGATGTCTTTCCACCACCGCGATTTTCTTTATGGTTGTGAAAGGCGGGACGTGCGCGCGCCCTCTAACGGTCGCTCGGCGACCGTTAGAGGTTCCCGGCCGTTGTGAGGCGATGGCCGCTCCCTGCCTCGCAGAGCGGGCTCCAGCGAGCTTCGGGACACGGAGGAAAGCTGTCACAGACTAAGCATAAGGTGGCTGAAATGAAAATAAAAACGCTCTTGTAGGCTGTGGATATAAGCTCTGGAGTGCTGCAGTGGGAGGCAGAGTAGCAGTGCTGGTAGTGTCCAGCCTCCTCAGGGTATTCTGCATAGCTCTAATGGATAAAGATTTGGCTTGCATATTTCTGCAAGCAAAGATTGGTGATTTACAAACAACATTCAGTTGCAGTCAGATCAACCTAGTAGTCACTCCATGTGGATACGAATTTGGAAAGTGAAGAACAACGCTATATATTTAGCACTGATAAATTCAGACAACTCTTGTGAGAAATCCTCTGGAGAATCCCTTGCATTCAAGAAGAACTGATAGTCATATAAGTGCTTATTGCTATCAAATTGTTATCAAAGGGAGTTGCCAAAATCCTGTGTAACAGAAAATGAAGTTTCTCCGGTGTTTCTGTGGAAGCTATTTGCTTTCCCAGATGCTTGCCAACCTGGACTGCGGGACCTGTGGCAAAATTTTTGCTCTGTGCATGCAGATACATTACATGTATAAGTGCAATACTGCAATTAATCTATACATGGATAATGACTCATTATTGCAATTACAATGAGTTTGTCACAGTTCCTTTATGT